TTCAAGCGAGCGAAAACAGTACATGCCTTAGACCGCTCGGCTACCGTGACCGGCTTCGATAACCTTTATTAGTGTAAAAGGTCTAATTGGTTTTTCATATCGCGACATTTACGTGGACTAGGGAGAAAGAAACTACGCGAAATTCTGGTCTTAATACGAGGAGTTCAGTGCAGTGAGATCGAACTCGTTATTGTGTAGGCAGTAATCAGACGCAGTTGATTCACCTGGGTCTGGATGCAATAAAATTTGATTTAAACCCGATAATTATATTGTAGATCTCATTAAAAGTAATAGAATTCGTTCTCTTTATAAGTGATCCTGTTTTTATGTTACTGTAATTAAATTGCGTTGGTCGAATTAGGAGCTTAGATTCATTCAAAAGATTTACAGTCTTCGGATCTGAAAGTGGCACCGTTTCATTGTTACGTAGGAGCCAGTATTGTTTAGTCAATATAGCCACTGACCCCAAGCTGGACGGCTGGGCTTCGATTCCCGGCAGCGGCAAGAAATTATTCTCCATTACGTCCAGATCGGGTCCTATCCAATGGGTACAGCGAGTTCTTTCCCCGGGCTTAAAGCGAACGAGGCGTGATGCTGACTTATTTTCCACCTAGTGCCGAGGTCGAGATTGGAAATATACCTCCATTCCCCCATACATCTTCATGGTGTGGTCCTTAATTAGTGAAGCACAGGGACAGGCTTACTTTTTTCGTCGTTGGCTTCAAGGTACCTTAAGGATGTGAAAGAGTTTTTAAGACACGTAAATCAAGTAATTCGGTAAGATCACAATCTCCTGATATATGATACTGTGGCGTATAGAACCATAGCTATGCAAAGGCTTAGAAACAAAAGAGACGACAGCCGTTGCTGTAAAACGGAGCGGCACACACGCCTTTATAACACTAAAGTTGCTGTTGGAAACGTGTTTTCTACTAGATTCGTGCAAAGGAATTATCTTGAAGACAGTTCGGGCGACCCATTTAGTTGTCAGTTGAGTTGAGTTCTGCACGGGAGGCTGTGAAGATAGGACCTAAGCGCGTGAAGCTGAAGAGTCTCAACTGTTAGAAGCCGCTGTCAGAAAACGTCTGATTAAGACACAATGCTAGAAAAATGCTTAGCGGGTGCCATGGTGGTTTGTAAAGCGTGGAGATGCGATTATTTGTAGTTCCGAGTGGTGTGTATAAGTGTTTCCAAACTCCGTCTATAATCACACGCATAAATCGTGCAAATATGTAATTTGGTAAATAATATCAACGTTTCAATTGAACTTTCTGTCTCTATCTTCACGATATAATAATTTACTTAACTGTACGGCATCGTGTCTGAGAAGAGTATAGACTTAATAGTAATCGCAGTGAGAAGCCCAGTTCTTATGTAATATTTTAGAAATATGTACGACGCATTAGAGCCCACAGTGGGGCAGGGTGGTGATGATATAACTCTAATGCCCACAATAAAAATGAAAAGTAATGATATTGTGTACTGTGAATAAATAAAAGTGGCTTCGTTCTTACAAATAACTGATTCATATCGGGAAATTTGATAAAATTGTGTTACTTTGTGTTAAACGTAACTGGGTTACAGATTTGATTATGATGCGCGTGTGATTGTGTTTTGAAACGCCCGTGACAGAGGCACACACATAGAAGCTGAACAGACGTATCAAATTTATTGGGAGATGCGGGCCCGTTTGAATAGGGAACAGTGGACATAATAGCAAACGAAACAAAATGCTGTATGATATAATAATCTATTGACATTTATTTAGTGACGCGGTTCTAAACTCGGCCAATTGAAGCTTGTGTACCAGATAATGACACTGTTGTAGCTTGGGGAGTCCGATCAGTGCATTTTTTTTTTTTACATTTCTAGGGAAGTTGGCCGACTTTATCATTGTTATTGTGACACCTGACATTGAGACTGTGCTAGGGAAAGAATGAAGCTATGCAATTGAAGCTTATCGGAACCTGTTGTGTGTGTGTGTGTGTACAAATTATGATTTTTTTTATTGCTAGTGGGGTGGGACTAAGTCCCTTGTACTGCGTCCACTTCTGGCCTATTGTACCAGCCCCACATGATAGGTGAGGGTGATTGTTGAGCAGTTTGGTGGAATGAACATTGACAGGGGAAACCGAAATACTCGGAGAAAACCTGCCCCAGCGCCACTTTGTCCACCACAAATCCCACTTGACCAGACCCGGGACCGAACCCGGGCCGCCGCGGTGGGAAGCCAGCGACTAACCGCTTGAACTATGGCGCGAACACAAATTTTGATTCTGGGGCATGCCAAAGACGCTTGCCCCGCCACAGCCGGTTGGGTTGGTTGTATCAGTCCCTCACGGAGCTGAGCCCTTCTTGAGAAGCTGCCAATTGTGCAGCTACTCGAAGACTTCCCAGCATTTGATGGAACCCGAAGAGTCATTACCATGTTCACAAGAGCCCTCCACTGGTCACTATCTGAGCCGGATAAATACAATCGATACCATCCCATCATATCTCTCTGAGATCCTTTTTAATATTGTCCACCCACCTATGTCTTGATATTCCCAGTGGTCTCCTTCCTTCCGACCTTACCACCAATATCCTATATGCATTCTTCCTCTCCCCATTCGTGCTACATACCCTGCCCACCTTAATCTCCTTGACTTGATCATTCAAATTACACTTGCCGAGAAATACAAGTTATGAAGCTTCTCATTATGCAGTTTTCTCCAGCCTCCTGTCACTTCATCTCTCTTCGATTCAAATATTCTCCTCAACGCCCTGTTCTCAAACACCCCCAGTCTGTGTTCTTCCCTTGAAGTCAGAGACCACGTTTCACACCCATACAGAACCACAGGCAAAATTGTAGTTTTGTATATTCTAATTTTTATGTTTTTGGACAACAGACGAGAAGAGAAAAGGTTGTGGGCTGAATGGTAGGAAGCTTTACCCGAGTTCAGTCGCCTCTTAATTTCCTCGTGAATCAGGTTCTGATTTGTTATCGTCGTTCCCAAATATCTGGACTGTGCCGCCCTGAATAATAATCGAGGAAGAGTAGAAAGAAACATTAGCTGAAATTGTAAACGTGTATCCATGTATGAACGCACGAATAACTTCGAGTTAAGATATTTAGTAAGCGGTATGCCTAAGCACAATAGGTCACTGTAGGTCGCGGTGCAAGGGCCGAGAAGGCGCACCCCTTGTACATTCATTCATTCAAGCTATACAAGTATGCCAATTTATTTGGCGTACGAGGAAGTGGACTGCCAGATGGTGGCGTTTAAATCACAATGAATGAACGTATGTCCAGATCATAGTATGATAACGAATGGTGAACACATAGGACTGAGACAAAGGCAGTCGCCTGTTCGCAGCGCCATAGCTCAAGCGGTTAGTCACTGGTTTCCTACCACGGCGGCTCGGGTCTGGTTAAGTGGGATTTGAGGTGGACAAAGTGGGGCTGGGGCAGGTTTCTCCGAGTACTTGGGTTTCCCCTGCCAATCTTAATTCCACCAATTGCTCCATAATCACCCTCGCCTATCATCTGGAGCTGGTACAATAGGCCAGAAGTGGCCGCAGCACAAGGGACTTAGTCCCACCCCACTAACAATAATAAAAAATAATAATCCCAGACTGCAGAAAGAGGCGAACGATTTTGTTGTGAAAGGTAAAATTCGAGGTCTTCGCTGACTAAACCTGCCAAGTTTGGGTGAATAGATCCTGTAACTTAATATTAGGTATGGGACGCGTGCTATATGTAACTTATGTATATAGGCGTGTGCATGCATGTGAAGTATACAAGTATACCGGATGAGTTTGAATTCTTTAGTAGCAAAATAAACTGAATCATCTTACGTCATTGTGCAGGAGTCGTACTCCTAAAGGGTGGTTGCATGTAGAACCTTATGCAGTGTATGAATACAAATTATTTCCGTAAACGGTTCACCAAAGTTACATTATACTGTACATATGCATAGGCCTATACGAAGCATTGGCATCGGAGTATCGTTAAGAATTCCGTATCTGCCCAGTTCCGTACTGTTGGGCAGTATGGTGCTGACTTTGTTGTGGTATTGACGCAGTGCACGTAACATATTAAGAGGATAATATTAATTTAATTTGTTATTTACTTAAAGATGTTTAACAGGATGTGATTTGTCTCCGTGGTCAGTGGTCACAGTTCCTAGCTACAGTTCCAGAGTTCCCGGGTTCGATTCCGGGTACTATCTGATTTTCTGAGAAGTAGTGGGTCTGGAACGGGGTCCACTCAACCTCGTGAGGATAATTGAGGAGCTACTTGAATGGAAAAATAGCGGCTCCCGTCTAGAAAACAGAGATTAACAGCCGTGGGAATCCGTTGCGCTGACTACGCGACACCCTCTATCCGCTAATGTTGGCACTAACTTTACCGACAAGCGGCGGTGGCTCGGTCGGTATAGTTCGCTTGCGAACTAAAGGCCACGGAGTTATTTGTCTATCAGAAGTCGGCGAGGTATGTTATGTGAGTGTATTGATAACTCAGGCCTTCATAACTGCAGCAGAGATGCTGACAGGTACATCATTTGAGAGTAATACGACAATTAAGACGAATACAAGCATGCTTCCATATTTGGCTGATATGTGTTTTAGAGATGCGGGCGTATATGATCATAGACTTTTACTAATAGAATTATGGAGAAACTTACGTGCCCTTATATGCGAATTTTTCTCTCTCTTCACGACTTTCACGAGTATTTACATTTCACTTACGTTACTGACATCGCTTATAATTCTTCGTGGAGACGTCGGTGTGCGGAATATAAAAGAGAATGATGCAGATACAAGATCTAGGCGCGGACTGAGGCTGGTCGCGGCGATGCGCGCGCGGCTTCAATGCTAAGAAGCTAGTGAACACGCACTACAGCAAACTGCATTGAAAATTCGTGATAATGTATTGTTAAGAGTTCGACTGCCGTTGTTGACGAGTGCTACAGTAGTATGGAACGTGTTATAGTACCCCTAGTTCTTTGTGTTTTCAGGATTCGGAAAGACGGAACAGAGCAGTAAAGATGGTGTAAGTTGCGCTTTGGCGCCATGTTGCTGAAACATGCTACGGTGTTGCGGCCGGGGTTCGGCCTGATCGCCGCGTTGTTGCTGGTGTCGCTACATGCGGCCGCATGGGTGCACGATGTCAGCCCCAAGTTATACGTTCAGTTTGGTAAGTAACATTCTCTTGTTACCAGGTGTATTATTCTCTCTACGTAGGGAACAAAGATGTTAAAAAAATGCTATCCCCTCGCTCAGTCAACTGCCCGCCGTTGCGTGTTCTCTGACGCTCTGCGTCTGTGCCTCATAGCTTAGCTGTGTTCATGCTGTCAGATGGTAGTAACTGGACCCGAGGTTTCGGTTGGTTAGTTCGATTTATTGAACATAACTCATAGTAGGGTAGTTAATTGTCGCACTATGCTACAAGCCAGAAGGTCGCGGGTACGAATCCCTATGAGGTCACTGGATTATTCAGGTGACCTAATCCTTCCAGACGCACTATAGCCCTGGGGTCGCCTCAGCCTCTGTCGGAAAACACTCAACTTCTGACAAATTCCCTTACAAATGAATTATTTAAGTCCCTTACGAATGCCGAATGATTGAACTCTCGTGAACTGAACGAACTTCCAGGGGGACCGAATATAGATCACGATCTCGAACATTTCGTGTATTACACTGTTTGTCCGTTACGTATGTCAGTCTCTAGGCAACGGTACGTTATGACGCTTACGAGCCAAGCGACTTACTACCCAGCAACGGGGTTCCTCCCACTATTGACGCGTAACCTTGGGAACGTGTCTACCGAACCGTTGCCTACCAGTGGTCGTATTAGTCACTTCCTCTGCAGTCCAGTATTAACGTACGTACCATTCAACACGATATAAACTGTTCGACAGCGTCGTTTAATAAACTGCAAATAAATGCCACTACTGTCACCACCATTAAGGCTGCACGTGTGAGCTGCATAGCGACTGACTTGCATTCAGGTGTATGAATCTTGACCATATGACGCTATTCTATGCTAACTTATGTGGTATTCCCGGGTCTAGCCAGGTAAGTACTCATTCGACGTTACCGAGGCCTTTGGAGTCGACAGTGGAGCTAAACCGCCATCTACATCTCTACTTTTAACATTCTCATTGCTACAAATTGGGGCGGTAGAATATTCTAACCCGTACTCAAGTAAATTACATTATATACTTTTTTACAAACTTGTCTTATCTCTTCTGACTCTTCCTTTCTTTATTTTTGCCGTTTCTTTCGTTCATGTAAGTTTGAAATCGTTAATGGGAGCATGGTTTTATTTGGAAATATTACAGATAATGCGGATTGGGTCTGGAGGAATTCGCATCAGTTTCGTAAGAGAAAAGATGTGTAGTGTCGTAAACGTTCAGTTCGTCTGCATGTGTTGAGTCTAGCCACAGTGTGGGGAGGGGGAAGCAATTGATACACCGTCAGGTCCTGGTGTAGCGCCTAGTGACAGGGAGCAGTGTTGTGGGTCTAAATAGCCCCACTTCCCCCTGCCCGTGGTTCAGCTCCGGCTGTTCAAATAGCTTCTCATCTACTGTGAAAGAAGCGTAACTGCTCCAATCTTCACTTCTCATGAAGACTACAATAGGCAGGACCGGAATGGAGAGCTGGTAAGAGATTGGGTGCCGGCTGGCAATCTCTGTTTCCGATGGATGGCAGAGCAGTCAGCGAACCGCCATTCGATTCCTGGAATATAAGAGGCAATCCAACAGAAGTCAATTAACAGAAAACAAAAGATGAGGCGTGATCATTTCCTGGGAACTAATCGATCGTGGTGAAATGACCGACCCTATTTTGATGAATGGCATGTCTCAGTGGTAGATAAGAGCGCTACCAATGTGTACCTTATTTCCGATACCGGTTTAATTGCTTTTACGGACTGAACCACGAATCCCCTACTGCATAACGGTTCGGGAGTCCGACAGACTACTTTTGAAAGATCAAGTAAGTACACCATATACTTCGGTATACTGGAAACCGACGTTTCGGGAGGATCTGATGTTCCATATTCATGATTTATTATGTAGATGGAGGCAGCAGGATTCTCCGAAACAGTGCCACCTATATACGACACTACACGGCGGCACATCTCGAAGGAGAGTAAAACATCACCACTCACCACCCTGAGAGTCGTATTGCATGCAATATCAGTTGCATATAAAGTCTGGAAGGTGAGGAGAGAATAATATTGAAGTTCGTCGTAAGGGAATAGGAGCCGGGTTAGCTCAGTCGATATAGCTACCGGCTGGAGGAGTTGGAGTTCGAATCCCGGTGAGGCAAGAATTTTCACTTCTTCATGTCGTCCAGACCGGCTCTGGGGTCTACCCAACCTCCTATACAATGGGTACCAGGGGATTTTCCTCTGGGGTAAAACGGCCTGAGCGTGAAGCTCACCGCTCACCAAGTAGTGCCGATGTCAAGAAAATGTGGATCTATACATCCACTCCCCCATACGCCTTCCTGTCGTGCTTAATTAGTTATGCACGTGGATAACTTTACCATACCTAAGCTAACAGGAATTCAGCGACGGATTATTGTGAACATAAAGATAATGTTAGTAGGGTAAGTTTGCCTAGAATATGGAGGTGTCAGGTTCTTCCGAAACGTCGGTAAATATCCAGCAGAATGTACGGCTTCACACCCCAGAAAACAGTCGTTTTATATCGACCGCTGTGAGAACCTCAAATCGTACGTAGTTCATCTTCAGAGTCACTGGCGTGCGACAGTGAAACCTTCAGGTCCATAAAGGGTGATGTCTTGATCAGGTAAGCAACTGTCAGCTTGGGGTTGCTGCTGCGTCAGTACTTTAAACTCCCTCACACTTCCTTGGGTTACGTTACAGTCAGACGCGGCAGTCAAATTACCGTTTCCTCCCCTGCTGAAGTGCAGGTACCACTAGAAGCGACATAACGTGATATGATATTTTATGTGCCCTAGCCCCTTAGCAGCCACCGTCTCGAAAGGCGGGTCTCGGTAAGGATGCTTCTAGCCTTACTATCCTTTGTGTTCGAGCCCTTTCCTGCTTTCAAACGCTTGGAGGGGGGTGGCGGCGGGGGATTGCTGTGCTGCGGGTTTTCAAGGTTAAGCGCCGTAGTAATGACCGTCGGACCGCCGCCAGGCTAGTGTGGCCATCAGATTGTGTTCTTAGACTGCCTAATCGCATCCATTCCCTTAATTTACAGTTACACTCTTTATAGGTAAAGGTAAGTTGTCCCCGTGGTTAATTAATCAAGCATCACGCCATGAAGGCATTGGGGAGTGGAGGTATAGTTCCACCATTCTTGACGTCGGTACCGGATGGAGATGTGTGGCCTGCTTCACGCCCGTCCCCCTTACCAAACCTTCGATATCCCTTGGGTAGATCTGGACGATATGGGAATAAGCAAAATCTCTTGACTCTACTAGGAATCGAACCCCAACTCGTTAGTTGTACATCCCATAGTCTAGTCGCTATACCGACTGAGCTACCCCGACTCCCTTATTATGTTATAGTTCGATTAAACGAAGGAAGTTGCCGAGAAAGCAGTACGAGGGGCGGGGGTCTTACAAATTAATCAGGCTGAAAAAGTGCAGTACGAAAATTTTAAGGAAAGAGCGTGCGCGCGATACCGAGAAACGTCGGCTGTGGCCCTGTGAACGAGACCGGTTGATATTTCCAGACGTCAGGTTCTTAAGACGGTGGCAATCAAGAGCACACTTTTCTGTGATGTGATGTTGTGTAGCCCGGTGGCAACTTTCATTAACCCTGAAGACGGAGGAATAGGTTCTTCCGAAACATTAATGTCCCTCTGGAGGGTACCTTGTAGCGTCATTGGCTGAGGCACTGCTACAAGCCGGAAGGTCGCGGTTCGAGTCCCGATGAGGTGGAATTTTTTAATTGACCTAATCCTTCCTAATCCTAATCCTGAGGTCGACTCAGCAGCTAACAGAAGAGAGTACCAGGAATCTTCCTGGGGCTAAAGGGCGGCCGGCGCGTAAGGCTGACGTCACTGCTATCTGTGAGCCGATTGTCTAGAGAAAATGTGGGAGCCTTAGCCTCTCACAGCCCTATGGGTCCTCCACGGCCTGTTACAGGGATAGTTTTACATGTCAGGTAATTTGGAGGTCGTAATTTATCGCTACCAAGCCAGTTCCAGGTCTCTCTCTGTCGTTGCAAAGTAATGTACCCAGTTTACAGATGACAGTGTTATCTGGCGTGATCACCACTGATCAGTCAGTGATGGTAGAGGCAGAGACAGTTTCTGAAATGTTTTGAAATTTATTCCACAAGTCTGCTGACGTGCCGAGAAGACTCCATTGCACTCAGCTGTAGCAATAGCGTCAGATGTTATTCTTACCTGTGGCTGTTACCGCTGACTGTGTGATTTAAGATGCGACGCTCCTACGCTAGTATCATTTATTGGAATTCCGTTCAGATCATGGATTTTTTTGTGCATTCGTGTGTTTGCTGCTGTGTAATGGTAGCGGTCCTGTAACGGTATGATTCGTCATCCAGGAAGTCTTGCCACACGACAGAAAGGTTCGTTGCCTTAGGATTGGTTCCGGGTTGTGAACACAGTCCCAAATCTTGGAAAGACGCGAGCCCCGAGGAGTAGCTCGTGTAGTCTAAGTGTAGGTGAAAGCAAATGTAGCATTTTGCTAAATGTGAATGCAAGCAACATTATTATGAAAACCTCAAATTTTAAATTATTATTGTTTGTGGGTATAATTATCACACTTTTATTGAAGTTCACATGACGACAGTTTTGGAGTTTCGGATTTGCGGATTGGGGAGTCAGAAAAGGTATAAAGAATTCTTCTTTAAATAAGGAACTGAAAGGAGAAGGGAGGAAACTGCATTGTTACTACTACTAATAATGATGATAATAATAATAATAATAATAATAATAATAAATATGCGGTTAGACTCACAGACGGCCGTGCCATAGCTCAGGCGGTTAGTCGCTGGCTTCTCACCTCGGCGGCCCGGGTTCGAGCCCAAGTATGTGGGATTTGTGATGGACAGAGTGGCATTGGGCCAGTTACGGTATCTGAGCGGTCTAAGGAATGTACTGTCTTCGCTCGTTTGGCAACCGGGATCGTGGGTTCGAATCCCACTCAGGGCATGGATGTTTGTGTGCGTTTTTCTGTGTTTGTGTACAG